GCGTCCTCCCCCGTCCCCTGACTGCTCCTGTGTCTTTCCTGTGGAGCATCAGAGTCTGAAGATTCACATTTTTTAAAAGTGGTCAGCAACAGAGGCAGACGCTTTACTGGTTCTATCCTTTATCAGGGTGGTGGTGGTTTCTGAAGAGATGGGATCTCACTATGTTGCCCAAGCTGGCCTGGAATTCCCAGCCTCCCTCCACCTTCTCAAGTTGCTGGGACGATGGGCGTGCTCTGCGGGCTGGGCGGAGCTCTCTGTTGCTGTAAGGATGAAATCCAGACCCTTTACAAGGCCCTTTGCCACTGTGGCCCTGTGTGCTTCTCCAACCTCTGCCATCTGATTCTCCAGTCCAAACAAACTGGCCCTTCTGGCTGGTTCCCGGACCTCTCTGCTCCCACCTGTTGCTTTCTCTCAAATGCAACACACTTATCACGTGGTCGCAGAACTTTCTTTGATGTCTCCACCATCTGCCAAGCAGCTTTTTGCCTTCATCTGTGTTCCCATTTACTTCAACTGGACGTCTCCTAACATCCCGAAAAAGAAATATTTCTAAGCTATAAAGAACTTGGGATGTCTTTTTCAAAAGCATACTTTTCAATATTCAAGGAATTTCGAGAAATGTAGCATTCACCTAAGGGTAGATGATTTAAAAGATCTCTCTTATGATGGATTCAAATAAGGTGGTGATTGGAAGGCTGATGTGTGAGCATAAGGCATTATTATTCTACACTGATGTTTCAGAGGAGGAAGCTAGTTAGGGGAATATTTTCCTCCCTAACATTTCATCTCTGCTGAAATAAGTCAAAATACCCAATGTTCTTTGTATTCAGAGGTGACACTGGTACCAGTGCGACTGTCGGCGGCTGTCAATCCCCAGCTTTTGGAAGCAATGTCACAGTGCTTTAACTTGCTTTTCAGTTTGCTCAGCATGTCTTTGAAGCATCACCTCTACTCATCTCTTCCACAGCTCACTGTTCAGCCAAATTGCACTATTTCAGCAGGAAATCGGCTAAATACTTAAAAGCTAGTGAACAAGGAGCCTCTTCCTTGTTGAGGACTTAAAGCTCTGTTTTTCAAAGACCGGTCAGACAGGCAGCCTCAGCATGAACTCAGGTGTGTGTTAAATTGCAGTTTCCTGGACCTTGTCTTCAGACCAACAGCTTCAGGAACTCTGGGTAAAGGCTGTCAGGTAATGTGCATTTTAAACAAATACCCCTGGTGATTCCTCTGGACTCCCAGTTAAGACCTTTGAGTTGAGGACTTTTGCAGTCACCAGCTATGCTTTTGTTGAGCCTTGTATATTTATTTACACGTGGGGACATAAACCATCTGCAGAATCCTGCTTTCAGAAATACACCTGGATGTCTCTGCACAGGGCAGATCTGATAATAGGATTCAAATATGCCCAGAAAACGCTGTGTCCCTTAAATATATTATGGCTTCTATTTGGAAAATGTCCCACTTGAATTGAGTGTACTTCTCTGAATAGCTAGGTAGATATTGACCAAAGAAAACGCATCAAATCCAAAACAATTGTGAGAATAGAATTACACCCTTCAACAGAAAGAATGTATAACCTTCAGGTTGGCTGATACACAGGCAAAAACTCTTTCTGGTATATGTAGAAAGAATAAGAACAAGTTCAACACCTGGGGTGTCCTTCAGAGACAGGGAGACTCCCAGCCCTGCTCAGGACTGGTTGCATTTCCTTTTCTGGCTGCCTCAATGCAGTCCCATGGGCTCAGAGCTCCATTTCTATCTGTATTCTTTCTACAACCACAGACAGCATTTCTGTCCCATTAGTTTTTGTAACTTTTGATTTTGATTTTGAGAAAATTATAGTTTTTCCGGAAATTGCCCTCCCCCCCAAGGTACGTGGTGATCTCTTATACCCCGATAGTAACATCTGGCACAACTATACACATAGTGTAAGATCAAAGCCAGGAAACTGACATTGGTCATTAGTATAATCCACAGAGCTTATTCAGATTGTATCAGTTTTCTGCACACCGTGTGTTGTGTGTAATCTTATCATGTGTAGATTAATATATCCATTACCACAACTAAGCCACAGAACTGTTCCATCTCCACACGGCTCCCTTCCTAGCCTGGCCTGTCCCCTTCCACCCACCTCTAACCCTAGCCATGCTAATCTGCTCTTCATCTCTCTAATTTCACACAATTATTTTTAATAGCGTTTTAACAGCCTTAAGGCAACCTCCAGCCATGCTGAACTTCCTGCCTGGACTGTCTAAATTCTCTCTCAAGGTACCAATTATGGTTTTAGTTAATGCTCCGGTTATGAAGTTGCATAAATTTTTAGGAGTCTGATTATAATCTTAATATTTCTAAAAAACATTCATTTTACTGTACAGTTTTGCTGAGTGTATGGTTTTTAGCAATATCTGTTCTGTGTTATAGCAGAAATATTTATATAATGACTGAAACAAAATAGAGGTTGAATTTTTTACTTAAGGAAGAGGTTCTGTCTGGGGACCTTTTTTTTTTTTGGAGACAGAGTCTCACTCTGTTACCTAGACTAGAGTGCTATGGCATCAGCCTCGCTCACAGCAACCTCAAACTCCTGGGTTCGAGTGATCCTCCTGCCTCAGCCTCCTGAGTAGCTAGAGCTACAGGTGCCCACCACAATGCCTGGCTAGTATTTCTATTTTTAGTAGCGATGAGGGTCTTTCTCTTGCTCAGGCTGGTCTCCAACTTCTGAGCTCACGGGATCCACCCATCTTGGCATCCCAGAGTGCAAGGATTATAGGCGTGAGCCCCAGTACCCAGGCTCCTGTTCAGAAACTTTCAAACATGTTCTTTGTTATCATCAACTTTGAATCTAAACTCTAAAAATACCAATTACAATCTGCATTTTTTTTCATTTCTTCCCTGGGCCAGAACTGATCATGGATAAGCGTGGCTGATTCTGGATGCTGTAAGTAAGCTCATTTGGCAATGTCTCTAAAGTAGACCTCATCAGTGACACAGATATCCTGGCCTCTATCTACCTTATCCTTTGTCTTACTTAATTGGTTAAAAACTGGATAAGGAAAGTAATTTTATTGATCGGGCCCTACTTGAAGCTCCCAAGAAAACACACACACACAATCAGAGTTTCTTGACAATACATGTATAGCTTCAAAGGATAAAGGTGACTTTTCTTGTTTGCTTTTAGTTTTTAATTAAAGCTATAGTAGGGAGTAGGTGGGCAGGAAGGGATATTGAAGCATCTAAAGAAGTTAAAAAAAAAAATCTGACGAGAATAGAACAGATAGGACAAGTGATTAAAGTGGATTCAGCCTGGAGTTTTAGGATAGGGTAGTGCTTCCTAAGCTGTCATGGTGCCCAAGAAATCCCTGGGGATGTTGCTGAAATTCATATTCGGATCACAACATCTGGTGATCACCTCTATATTTCCAATATGTTACAGGTGATACTGTTGCCTCTGGTCCACAGAGGGCACCTCCACTAGCAATGCTGTAAGACATCATGAATTGCTATCGTTTGCACTCAACAATCACTTGGCAACTTATTCCTTTTGAAGTAAATTTATGCTAATAACTATTTGGTTAATCAAATATTTATGATGTGTCTCCAGTTTTCTAAATGCATGTCCACCTAGAAAGTGTTTCAGACTTGGTCACATCTCTTACCTGGGACATTGGACAGGACTGGGTCATGTTTCTCTGCACCCAAATGGCTAGAGCGGGCTTGTTCACGTGGTGGCAGAAAGGTTCCAAATATAGTCAGCCCTCCAAATCCATGGGTTCTGCATTTTCAACCAACTGCTGATCCAAAAATACTTGGAAAAAATAACTGAGTCTGTACATGTACAGACATTTTTCTTGTCACTATTCCCTGAACAATATAGATCACAACCATTTACATTGCATTAGGTAGCATAAGTAATCTAGAGATGCTTTAAGCATAGTACAACCCCCATAACTGACCACCTCCCCACATTGACCTAATTTTCATAGACCAGCCATGTATCAGTACAGTATGCCTAGTTCCTTATGTTGACCACCTCTGTATGTTGGCTAGTTACAGTCCTTTGGGTGGTCAACTTACTGCATATGGGAGTGTGTGTGTTGGTTATATACAAATACTACACTATTAATAGCAGGGACTTGAGCATTCACAGATTTCGGTGTGTCCTAGAACCAATCTCGCTTGGATACCAAGGGATGACTGGACAGCATTGGTCAGCTCACATGTGTGAGTCCTTCATATCCCTTGATCTGCAATACTTTACTATCATCCATCCCACTGGTCAAAGCAAGTCTCATGACCAGGTCCAGAGTCAGAGTGGGACAGAATTGCCTAAGGGCATGGAGGCTGGCAGGGGAAGCATTTGTGGCTGTTTTTGTAATCTGGCTGTTCAAGCTCAAAATGACCTTCAAAGACTGCCCCGGAAAGGCTTGTCGGGCTTATTTTTTAAATCACCACACTATTCCTCTTTCACTCTCCTCCTCCTCAAACACTCTTTCTACCATCGCTAGATGGAAGCCTAGTCCACTTTCCAATGTCACTTCCTTCTTAAAATTGATATATAAACTGGATGGGATCTTTAGTCAGATGGATGGCACATTCCATTCTTAAATGCAGGATCAGGTGTTTCTAAAGAGCTTTGTTCATTTTTGGATTCCTGTAACCCTCAGAAAATATCAATAACCACTATTTATTAATGCCAGTTACTTTGCATATTTTTAATACTATCTAAATGAGTATTCCTATCGACTCCTTTTTATAGATTGAGAAACTGAGGCATAGAGAAGTGAAATTCACTTGTTCTAGGTCACACAGCTAGGAAGCCACGGTGTCAGGATTTGAACTCATAGCTGTTGAATGCAAGAGGATAGCCTGTCGACTAGTCTCATAGTTGAATGACAATACATGTTTACATGCAGATAATTGTGAATTGACCAGTAAGGGTGTGTTTGCCCACTTGTTGGAACGGCAAGGTGGCTTCAGGAGTAGAAGATCTCAAGGTTAATGGGTTTTTCTTCTCTATTTCAGATTTTGCAATACCAAGTTGATGAGTGGAGTGGATGCAATAAACTTCTAGTCCATCTTCCTAATCCCAAAATCTACTTAATATATTGTTCTCAGATGGAGGTGTATCAGACATTAAACTGATAACAACGGATACTACACTGGATCTTAGCTTAATGGCCCAGAAGTGACCTACCTAAAATTTTAGACTCAGATCTATAGGTTCACATATTTTTCGCAGTTCTCTTAGAGATAGTCAGGCTCTGTTGAACTGAATCATTATAACCAGACCCACAAGAGGTTAAAGAAAACTAGAATGCTAATTTATTTGTGTCCAGAGAGACAAAGATGTGACCATCACACCAGCACAGATGTCAGACGGTCAGAATGACCAGTAGGGAAACTAAGTAAGGAGAATGTTTCAGAGTGAGTTTCTTTCTTGCCTTCCTGCAAAAAAGAATTGGAGTCCACACCAAAGGATTTGAGTCTACTGCTATTTTTAAGGAATACAGTCACCAAGGAGGCCTGGTGACTCACTCCTGATTAAAAGACTGTATCTGCCAGCTGACTGGAAGACTCATATCAGGTCATCAATGTTCTGTCTCTCTTCGACAACGCTGGAGGAATTCTTTTCTCTCAATTCCCCATTTTCAATATTCCATAAACATTTCAGTATCAGGCTTCACTTTTCAGGTTTGAGAGTGTGACGTCTGCTCTGTTGACTCTGATGATTCCCTTCCCAGCACTACAATTTTAGTATGTGCAGCTGTGGCCAGAGGATGTCCGTGCTTTGGCATCATTTATACGAGGATGGGGCAATTGGTCAGTCTTTTTGTTGGCATGAACAACTTAGGAAAAATAACAGTACTACCAGAGGATGTGAATGACACTCTTCTAAAAAAAAATTTTTTTTTTTAACTTATGAAAAATATGGTACACAGTTAAGACTATGAAAGAAAAAAGTGCAGACATCTAGTGCAAGAGTCAGGATCAAGGGCAGGGAACAGAAGCAGTGCTCAATGCCTTAACTGTGAAGGGATTTAATGCTGGGAATGGAGCACCTACAAAATTGGGGAAGGTCTAGCAGTGTGGGCTTTAGATCAGGCTTCTGGAAATGCCTCCCAGAGGATGCAGAACAGAACCACGAGGGCAGCTTCCACTTCTGCTGCCACTGCTTGGCTCCTAATACCAAGAAATCACTGCTGAGCAGGTGTTCCTGGTATGAGAAGGCCACACTGCCACCTCACCCTGCCTCCAGTCACCCAGAAGGCTGCAGATGTTCCTTCAAAGGCTGAAAAGCCTCAGGCTTTCACTATTTTGTATGCCAGTAACAACAAAGGGTTGGATGGAGCAGGAGGTTGCCTCCCTTGGATCCACCTTCCAAATTTTGGTCAAGTATAATCTAATTGGCCAAACTTAATCTACTTCTAAAATGCTAGTTGAGACAGTGTCTAGAGCAGTGATTTTCAACCCATGTGCCTTGACATTCGGGAGTGCCATGAAGGATCTTAAGTGTGCTGCGAACATTTTTAAAGACCATTAATTAAATTATTTTTGAAAGTTCAAAGCCCAGTAAGTATATATTTTTTTCCTTTTTTTTTTTCATCAATGTAATTTAAGTGTGTTGTGGAAGCTTAACTATAGGTTCAAGTGTGCCGTGAGTTAAAAAAAGGTTGAAAAACACCTCTGTAGCCGAAAACAGTGGCTCACACCTGTAATCTCAGCACTGTGGGAGGTGAGGTGGATGGATTACCTGAGTTGTATCTGAACCATGAGTTCAAGACCAGTCTGAGCAAGAGCAAGACCTCCTCTCTAAAAACAAACAAACAAACAAACAAACAAACAAAAAACCTAGCTGGGGCTTGGCGCCTATGGCTCAAGTGGCTAAGGCACCAGCCACATACACCTAATGTGGCAGGTTCGAATCCAGTCCAGGCCTGCCAAACAACAATGATGGCTGCAACCAAAAAATAGCCAGGCATTGTGGTGGGCGCCTGTGGTCCAAGCTACTTGGGAGCCGGAGGCAGGAGACTCACTTGAGCCCAGGAGTTGGAGGTTGCTGTGAGCTGTGATTTCATAGCACTCTACCCAGGGTGATAGCTTGAGGCTCTGT